TGTGTTCCTGCAGTCTGCTGCCCATGCTCAGTCAGGAACATTTATATACCTTTGTAAATATTGAACAATAAAATTCAGCCACTGCAGTGGAGAGCTTTATATGATAGTGAGCATGCAAAGCTGCATACTGCACTTTTGGTGCCAAGTCTTGAGTAGCCACTCCCAGATTCCGGAGCAAACAGCTCAATCACAAGTCGGGAGCAGCACTGTAAGGGGTGCCCAAAATATGTGTGTTAACTTATGTCTGATTTTTACTCATAGGGCTAGTATTCCACCTCTTCGAGCTGTCATGAACGGCGCGGTCTCGCTGGGCCACATCAGCACTGCAGACCGTGCCACTGCCGGCCTTCTCGGACAGCGCGGTCACGGTCACTGTTTGGCGGGGACAAACAGCGCGCAAAAAACGCGCCTTCAATCTTCTATGCAAACAGCAGTAAGCTGGAGAAGTCCGAGCCCAAGAGGTCCGTGAACTGGTCTATGGGACTGAAATATAGGGTTAGGGGTCTGCACAAAACTTGTGTTGTCCGCGTTACCGCCAAACCTAACAAAGAAAAGAAGCAAAAGAAAGAGGTAGTATAAACAATGTACCTTCGTTTCTCAGGTATCGTAACTAATACAAGTCCGTGAGAACTGCTATATCATCAAGGTCCGCCACATCAGCCTAAGAGTTCGTATACAACGCCGAGCCAGAGTCAAGCCAAGCCAAGATAGTACGTGTCAGAAAGAACCAATGTATCCGCAGTCCCTCATACGTGTCCAGAAAGATATCATACGTGTCCTAGGTAAGTATACGTGTCCATAAGAGAAGAAGATGTGTTTATAGAATGTTTAAGGGGTTTTTAGAGAGAAGGGATCGAGCCGAAGTCCGGGAGTACGCAACCTAACTAGAAATGCGGCAAAGGAAAAGATATACAAGATAGGAAAGGAGAAAAAGTGTCCATAACAGTATCTGGGAAAGGTGAGTGGAAGGGGTTGGGCATACCAGGGGAACAGGAGCTCGCGTTGACAAACCATCGACAGAAGCGTGTTCAGAGGGTGCAATAACCCCCGTAAACACTGAGATCTGGGAGATGGGGCCACCAGAAAAAGGGTGGTCAGTTAAGATTAATTTGGAGAGGGTGGGGAGGGGGAGGGGGGCGTACCGAGAGAATGAAGGCTCATGTTGACAAACCATCGATGAGAGCATGTCCAGAGGGTCCAATGACCCCCGGGACTGTCAGGACCTTGGTCATGGACCCACCAGAAAAACTTAGGTGAACAATTCTTCATTTTGGGGAGGGAGGGGAGGGAGAGGGGAGCATACCGGGGAACGAGGCCTTGCGTCAATAAACCGTTGATGCAAGCGTGTTTAAATTGTTCAATAATCGCCAGAAATAATTCCGATACCTGAGGAACGAAGGTAAATCGGTTTAAACTACTACTTTCTTTTGGTTCTTTTCTTTGCTAGATTTGGCAGCACTCGGGCAACGCAAAGTTCTTGCAGACCCCTAACCCAAGCTCCCTGGACCGGTCCATGGACCTCTGCCTCCAACGAAAACCTCAACGTATCTCACTCAGTTTTGCAATCTTTCTCAAATTTTTACCTTTGTCTACTTATATCCATCACTAGCTTTGCTTTTCTTAATTTGATTCAGAGGAAACGGTCTCATCATCGTGTGTAACGATGAGTTGTGCAGGTGAGTACCACCGCAAACTTCTCCCGAATCAATTCAGCTTCACTGACATGCAACACCCTGCAACACCTCTCGCCACTACACTATCAGTCAACTTGAACCTTTGTTTTTGCTCCTTCATTAGACCCTAGCAGTCGTCGACACTCAACGAGGCGAGCGGGACGTGTCATTGGGCGTTTACCGTCGTCGTCCACGCTCATCGCAGACAACGTGAGCCGCTGCCCTCCCTTGTACCATCTCCATCTCCCCCGCCGACTCACCTTAGTCCTCACCCGTACCCCATTCTCTTTCCTGACGAGGTAACACATAATACGTCAATAGCGTATACTTCGAATCAGAGCCAGCGAGCGTCCCCGCTCTCCCTCGCTCTCCCGGATGTGTCCCCATACGCACGCACACACGAACATTCATATCCATTGTTTCAAGACGATTCAGAGAAGGTTCAGAGCAGGAAATTAGAAAGGAGAGCGGGAGATACCGAGTCTGAGAGTCAATAGAGGGCCTGTGGGTCCTTTCGCCTCCGGTGCGCTCATCTCCCTTTCATTTCGTTTCGTCCCTTTTCGTTCTATGCCTTCTCGGTCCTGCCATCCATCTCCTGTAAACAGCAGGAGTCGTTGGTTGAGTTGTTCTGGGAAGGTGCTTCATGAACTCTCGGCACCCGTCTAGCTTACCCAGACGTGCCGTTGTGTTGGTTTCGTGGACCAACGCGTTCGCGTTTCGTTTGTGCTTTATTACTGATTGTTGTTGATATTTTCTTTTATTAGATACTCGAAGCCGTCTGCACTAAACGTGAACGGGACGCGTCATCAGGCGCTTACCGTCGACGTTTGCGGCCATTGCAGACGACGACACAACGTCGCTTCCTTCCCTCACACCGCCACCATCTCCATCAGCGGCTCACCCTCACTCATCCTCGTCCTCACCCGCACCCGCGTTCCTTTACCGGTCGACATGACCCTCGGCACCTCGACGACGTCTCTTCCGAATCAGAGCGAGGAAGCGTTCCCGGTCTCCCTCGCTCTTCAGTGTGTCCACATACCTCTCCCCGCACATACGTAGGCGTGCATGCCCATCGCTTCAAGACTTTCCGGTGGTGGTCTCGGACAGGAAAATAGGAAAGACACGTCTGCAGAACCCACCACACGTCGCCGGGTGTCTATTCGTGCCAGAGCGAGCAAGCGTCGCTCGCTCTCACCCTCACCTGTGCATACATCGTCGTCGTCGACGGGCCACTGGGACTGACGATGACGCCGGTGACATCTAGTTCGAACCAGAGCGCGCTACTCGATCGTCCTCGACTGCCGTACCCGCCGTCCCGAGACTACAAGGAAATATGAGAGTAGCCTCCACATGGGCTTTAGTAGAAGGGTATGTGTTCTATTTTACGTCTTTCTATGTTTGATTACTGACGGGCTCTCGGTACTTACGCACCTTTCTTTCCCGTCCATCTCGCTATAGGCCCTCCCGGAAGCCCACAGCCCACTAGAGTGTACAACGTACGCACACTTGCTTGACCCTTTCGGGTCCTTGTGTGACGTTCGTTGTAGCTCCTCCCCTCTGCGCTCGCGCATCGTGGGCCGTTCGCACTCCCTCCCATCCTGCGCCCTCCGCACCTTGGCGAGGCCACTATCCCTCAAGAACGACGCAGGATAGCGCATTTTTAATCATTTGCTACGGAGGTGCGTCTCATCTTCTCACTCACTCTGCTCTCTCACTCACCGTTTAAACCACACATATAGGAGATGAGCACGCCGAGTGCGCAGACGCTCGAACACGACAGCACTCCAAACGCTTCGCGAGGGATCCAAGGGCTTTGATGGGCCGGCACGGGCTTTCTCAGAACGTTCGAGGGAGAGCATAAAAGGCACGTGTACACTCTGTGCATCATACATCGAAGCTCTGCTACACCAACACCGACATTCTCAACAGCGCGCCGACTTCCTCGAATCAACGACCGGCAGCCTTCAAAGCCCTATCGTAGTGCTACATGCGTAGCCAGCTCTGAACATCTCGCTTTCGACGTGGTAAGACTCGATTACACTAAACGCGAGTAAGGGTGCGTCATCTCTGCGGTTATCGCAGACGACGACGAGCGCCGCTTTCTTCGTACCACCACTAATGCCCTCGCCGATCCGCGGACTCGCCCTCTTCTCTTTACTCTCATAAAGCATGACACAGGAAACTGACTTTTTTCTTGCTCACTCGATAGATCATGCTCAAGACAGCAAGATGCTAGTCGTGAACCCTAACGACTCCAACTCCCTCTACTCCCTCGACCTCGAGCGCGGTAAGATTGTAGAGCAGTGGAAATCATGCGATAACCCCTCCGTGAGCGCGATCGCCCCAAACAATGAACTGGCGCAAATGACGGCAGGCAGAGTACACCCTCGTCACACCCTCGTAGGAACCTCGCACAACTCCCTCTTCCGGATCGACCCCCGCGTGTCGAGGAACAAACTTGTGCGGAACTCGTTCAAGCAGCAATTCTTGAAGAACAAGTTCACCGGCGTGACGACAACGGGCTCGAGCAAGCTCGTCGTGACTGAGAAGGGCAACATCCGGCTAGCCGACGTGATCAGGAAGAATGCGAAGACGGCGCTGCCGCTACTAAGCTAGTGGTGATTCGCGGCCTCGCCCTCATCCGCACCCACGTTGTCTAGCCTGTCGATGTGACCGACGACAATGTCTATCTCGGACCAGAGCGAGCGAGCGTCCCGCTCCTCATCGATCGCGTCCGCATACGCACGCACGCACACAAACGTGCATCCCCGTCTCTTCAAGGCCATTTGGAGGAGCTTTAGTACGGGAGGACGAAAATAGAGCTCAAGATGCGCTGCCAAGAGAAACAGAAAGCGGGCGAGTTCCTTTGCCCCCGGTACGTTCCTTTCCGCCTCCTTTACTTTCGTCGTGTTCATTTTCGGTACCTTTCTTTTCTTTTCTCGTTCTCTTTCGGTCCTACCACTAATCTCCCTCGTACAAGACAGGTCGAGCCACTCCTCCATCCGATCACCTCTCGCTCACCGTCGACACGTCTGTGGATCCCACGACGCGTCGATGGGCGCCTATTTATACCAGAGCGAGCGGGCGGCGTTTCTCACTCGCCCATATCCTCAACGACGACGTACGTTGTGTGGCTCAGGTGCCACCACCATCTCCCTCGCCTCATCCACATCCGCACACGCATTTGAAGAGGAGGAAAGGTACGCACACCTGTACATCCATACAACATCCAGCCACTGCCATACAAACGCTGACATCAAACGCGGCGCTCCCAGATCCTCGGATTGACCATCGGCAGCAGCCAAAAACCCATCGCAACACCATAGGCGTTATCAGCCGGGCGAAGATTCAGGAATAGCACGCGAGCGGGGCGCGTCAATGGGCGCTTAGCGTCATCGTCTACGCTCATTGCAGACGACGACAACGACGCGTGTTACTCGATTACATCGTACCGCTACTATTTCCTTGCCGACTCACCCGCACGCGCACTCGCATCATCCCACGTCCCAACGTGACCTACGACACGCCGACGACATCTTTTCAAATTGGAGCAAGCGAGCGTACCGACTCCCTCCCTCACTCTCCCTCGGTTAGGTCCACATACGCACGCACGCAAGCGTGCATTCCCGTCCCTTCAAGATTATCCGGAGGAGGTTGAGGACAGGAGCACAGGGCTCGAGATGTGGGGCTTCGAGAGCAAAGAGGGTGTGCGGATTCTTTCACATCTGGTACGGTACGCTCATCTGTCATTCTTTTCGTTCCTTTTCGTTTTATTGTTTTCTATCCTTTTTTATTCATTTCGTTCCCTCTCGGCCTTTCCCCATCTCCCTCGTACAAAAGAGGTCGAGCCATCCATTCCACCCGACCACATCTCCCTTAGCGCTGGCTTGCGCCGGTCTTACCGCGAATGTTTCGAACACATCTTCGTTCCCTTGATCAGTGGTATCACCATCGCCATGCCCACTGTCTTTTCCGTCACCCTCGGCATCGGTGCCAGCAGCTCGCCATGCACGAGGCCATTGTCATTGTCTTCGAAAAGCTAGCCGGTGTCACCATTCTCTATACATGGTCCAGCACCTTCAGGTATTTTTTCTTTCATATAGACTGGTCGTCGTCTCGGCCTCGACGACTACATATACCCCGCTCAACGATGGTCTATAGCTCACAGGAAAGCACCGCACTCTCGACGGGATGCCAACATCAGTATCACCGTCTCCAGAGGAGCTTTCGGACGGGAAGACAAGAAAAAGGCTTCAGATGTAGGTTTAATTGAGCAAGTAGAACGCGTGTGGGCCCATTCGTACGCTCCCTTCTCAGCACGCTTAGTTCTTTTTTCTTTGCCTCTTTTTTCTTTTCTACTTTTTTCTTTTCTAATCTGTTCCTCCTCTGACCTGCCATCCATCTCCCGTGTACAGGAGAGATCGGCCATTCATTCCATCCGACCCGCCTCTCGCCCTCAACGCCGACACGTCTTTGGTACCTACATCCCCTCGATGGGCCCCTATTTGAACCAGAGTGAGCGACCATCGCTCGCTGCACGTAGTCGCTTCGTCGTCTCAGTGTCAGTGGGGCTGACACCGCTCTCGTTGCCTACGAGCCTTTCCCTCTCCACCATCTCGCTGTAAGTTCGTCAAGAACTTCTTAGGCCACCCGAGTGTACAACGTACGTGCACTTGCGTGACCCTTTCGGGTCCTTGTGCAACGTTCGCTGTAGCTCCTCTTTTCCCCATTCGCGCTGCAAAGGCGCTCGCACCTCGTGCACCGTCCGCACTCGCGCCCATAGTGCACCGTCTGCAATTTGGCGACGCCGCTATTCCGTAGTAATAATGGCTGAGAACGTATCTCGTCCTCTCAGCCTCGACGACCACGTCTCCTCTGCCAAGGTCCTCAAGGATGGTCCGTGGCGGTGGCGATGCGCTCCTCACTGTCCGGCGTTCCACTTTCTACGGCGAAACCCTCAAGAAGGGACGCTGGAAGTATCGGCGGAACGGATGATGACGGGGAGTTGACAGAGATGCCCAATCAAACAGACGTACGTGCCTTTCCAATATTCCTCCTCCCGTTTGAACACTCGTGCCACTGTTTGTGACCCTTCATTGATACACCCGTATGTTGCAGCGGTTGCCAGGTGCGCGTCGTCGAATGCACTCGTTGCAGACGACGACGCGCGTCGCTCGTCTCCTCAGGTCACCACGATATCTCTCGCCACCGACGTTGCTTGTGGTGCGGCCAATATTCTTCATTTTCACTGTGTTTTCTTTTCGTTTTTGCACTTGCCTCGAGCCCTCGTGGTAGTCGACGTTGAACGCGTGCGAGACGCGTCATCGGGCGCCTAGCGTCGCCGTTCGTGTTCGCGTCGAACGACGATAAGCGCCGTTCTTTCCTCTTCACCACCACCACCTCCCTCGCTACTCGCCCTGTCTTCTCCGCATACCCACAGAGCACGGTCGCTCTCCTGTCGCTTCAAGACCATTTGGAGGAGGGAAGGGAAAGGAGAGGGGCGATTGAGTGGAGGCCAGACGGACTGGGAGAGGTTCATACCGAGGAAGCGTACGTTTCCAGTCACCTCAGTGTATTTGTTTTCATATTCCCTCGATTATATATATATATTGGTTCTTATCTCCCCCGTTCAAGAAGGGCATATTCTCTATCCGCCGAGCTCTCCCTGTATCCACTCTAGCCGGCTGTTGACGTGTCGTGGGACTATGACACGTCGGCGGTATCTATTTTCGATCCTCAGTGGCCTGCTCTCATAGCGGGATGACCAAACGCGCTCGCCGACGTCGAACACCAGTCCGACGCGTCATCCCTCGTCGTCGGGAGCGTTTGTCCAACCCGCAACGCATAGGCTGTCCTTCGTCTCGTGAACAAGCGATTGGCTGCCAGCCCCAATAGTCGTCATCGCTAGTGAGCGTCCTTGCTCCCCCTTACTTTCCGTCCATCGCGTCCATATACGCACGCACGCACGCACACACGCATACATGCAAGCGTGCATATCCGTTACTTCAACGCAATCCGGAGGAAGTTTAAACTGGGAAGATAGCGGGAAGATAGGAAGGAGAGCTCGAGATACGGGGCTCAGAGAGCCAACAGAGGGCATGTGTGTCCTTTCGCCCCGGTACGCTCATCTCTTTTGCTTCTTTTCGTTCTTTTTTGTTTTATTTATTTCCTCTTTCCTATTTTTTCTTTCTATCTCGTTCCCTCTCGATCTTGCCCACCATCTCCCTCGTACAAGAGAGGTCGAGCCCCTTGTTCCATCCGACCGCCTCTCCCTCACCGCCGACACGCCCGTGGAACTCACGACGCGTCGACGAGCACCTCTTCGAACCAGAGCGAGCGAGCGTCACTCGCTCTCACTCTTATCCTCACCTCCGCATGCATCGTCGTCGACGTGTCAATGGACCGACGATGACGTCGGCAGCACCCAATTCGAATTAAGAGAAGGGTGAGTGTTCTATTTTCGCTCTCTATATTCGTTTCCTGACAGGCTCTCGGTACCTGCGCACCTTTGCTCCTCTCCGTCTCGCTGTAGGCCCTTCCGGAAGTCTACAGTCCAACAGAGTGTACAACGAACGCGCACTTGCTTGACCCTTTCGGGTCACTGTGTGACGTGCGATGTAGCTCCTCCCTTCTACATTCGCGCTGCCAGCGCGCCCGCGCATCGTGCACCTCCGCACCCCGGCGAAGCTACTATCCCACAGGAATGACGCAAATTTGCATTTCGTCGTCTTGGTCTCGGCGACTACATGTAGCCTGCCAAGGTACCCTATGGTCTTGAGCCCGGGGCAAGCACCGCACCCTCGATGACATGATCATGGATACATATAGTGTCACCGGTGCTTTCTCCGAGCATAAGTCCAGAATGTCCAGAATGTCCAGAGTGTCCAGGTGTGTTTTTTCGACTCCTCTGCCTATCTTCGTCGTTCGTGATGCTAACTCGCACTGCTGTTTACAGGGTCTCGCCTTTGCGCTATGACTAGCATAGTGCTAGCGACGCCCCTGCCCTGTCTCGTACCAACGTCAGAAGCGCCGTCAGGGTGTCACCGATGCTGCTCGTAGTGCCGCTAGTATTGTTTTGACCGAGCTCGGTCTCTCCACCATCGCCTACGGCATTCGCGGTTTTCGTGACATTCTCCATAGAGGTGCGTCTCATCGCCTTGTTTGGTTTCGGACTCACCCCTTAACCCGTACAAACAGGAGACGAGCGCAACGAAAGCACGGGTGCTCCATCGCCACTCCAAAGACTTCACGAGAAGTTCGAAGGTTGTCATGGGATAGCCGATGGCCCTCTCTGGAAGAGACGTTGTTGCCATCGCCCAAACGGGCAGTGGTAAGACCATCTCGTTCGCTCTCCCCGCCATGTTGCACATCAATGCGTAAGTGACGTCTCGTACATCCCAACAATTCGCCAACGACGCTCATATGTCACGATAGTCAACCTCTCCTTTCGCCCGGCGACGGCCCCATCGCCCTTGTCTTGGCGCCCACTCTTTAATTGGCTGTTCAAATTCAGCAGGAATGCACGAAGTTTGGGTACGTACTTATCAACCCATAAGCGGATCCTTCCTGTGTCTTGTGTTTCATTGATGCTCGTCCTCTGCAGCTCCAACTCGTGCATCCGTAACACTGCCATCTACGGCGGTGCCCCAAAAGGCCCTCAAATTCGCGATCTTCAGAGAGGCGTTGAGATCGTCATCGCCACGCCCGGTCATCTCATTGATATGCTCGAGACGCAAAAGCCAACCTTTGCCATGTGACGTACCTCGTTCTGGACGAGGCTGATCGTATGCTCGACATGGGTTTCGAGCCTCAGATCCGCAAAATCATTGGTCAGATCCAACCAGACCCTCAGACCCTCATGTTCAGTGTGACTTGGCCGAAGGACGTCCAAAGGCTCGCTGCTGTATGTCCTCCTCATCCACACTTCAGTGAATAAGACTGATCTTGACCTATCTTCAGGATTTCTTGAAGAATATGATTCAGTGCAACATTGGTTCCATGGAACTTACCGCGAACCACAACATCAAGCAGATCGTCGAAATTTGCAGTGATTTTGATAAGAGAGGCAAACTGATCAAGCATCTCGACCAGATCAGTGCCGAGAATGCAAAGGTCCTCATCTTCGTCGGCACGAAGCGTGTCGCGGACGATATCACCAAGTACCTCCGCCAAGACGGCTGGCCGGCTCTCACCATTCACGGTGACAAGGAACAGTACGTGTTCAGTTCTCCATTCCCATCTCTTCTTCTATCCTGACATCTCCTCCAGGCGCGAACGTGACTGGGTCCTCGATGAATTCAAGGCTGGATGCTCTCCCATCCTGATTGCGACAGATGTCGCATCTCTTGGTCTCGGTATGTTTTTCTTTGAAAGGTGGCGAGCGATCCGATTACATGTCGAGAAGCCTACCCGTCGCAAACAAAACTCCTTTCCGTTCTTCGTGAACGGAAAGCCTGCTGGCGCTGGTATGATGGACCACATCGAGTGCTCTGTACTCTGTATGTGGGAACAACTCATGGTTTCTCTTCACGCACATTTTCTTTCATCTACCAGGTCTTAGGGTTGCTGTTGCTTCCAGGAGCAAGGTCAGGTAAAGCAAGGACTACGCGCGCATTCGAACACACAAACGAGGTATGCTACGATTTCCATGGCCCGCTGGATCCCCTAGCATATGACCTCCTCCCCTTAAGGATGGAACACTACTTATAGGGGATGTTTTCGTCGGCGGTTATGGACTGACCAGCACTTGGACATTTCACCGTGTTCCGGCTATATGTGTAACCCTCAAACGTTTTCATGCGCACTCAAGACGGCCTCATCTTGCCTGATCTCTAGCTTGGATGTTGCCTTGGGTCTGTCCTCTCGCAGGTAAGCTGAAGGTGTGACCCTGGGATGGACATTACTATGGACGTCGGATGCCTGCTTGTATCGTTCATTTCCGTACTTTGGCTTCCCTCGTAGACCTTGTTGGTAGCGCTCGTGTCGCGCTCGGTATTGTCGTTATTGACGAAATCACTCATGTTATTCGCATGTCATCCGCTCCTTGGCTTTGTCTTCTTTTCCTTGATATCTGCTGTGCCGTGGTCTACACGCAGATGTCAAGGATGTTGGCTACATTATCGTAAGTGCTTCTCAATCATCCTCACAGAAACATGACGCTCATTTACCATCTTAGAACTACGACTTCCCCAACAACTGTGAAGATTACATCCATCGTATTGGTTGTACAGGGGTCTGTCATAGTCTTTCATCTCTATCGGTCTCTCAGCTCACTATCCTGTTCATCTAGCGGACGCCACGGGGGCGGCTGCTGCTTTTGGGAGCTTTGAAACCGAATACAAAACCGAATACCATACGCTAAGTGCTAGTAACGGGTTGAGAGGTGGCGAAAGCCTTTGTGTGCGGCCCACTGAATGGTGTACGGGTGTTTTTTGTTCAGTGAGAACAAAAGATTGTCTTGCGAGAGTAAAAAACTGAAACATGTGACTCTAAATTACCATAACAGGCAACACCGTGATGCCCAATTCGGTTTAGTGACCACAAAATGTTTTCCTTCGTGATCACGGCGCATCAACACACAGGATTGCATCCAGTGCTGTCTAAAGCAAACAAAGGGCGCACGCTGAAGCCATCCTGAAACCTTTTGTCTTCGAATCTGGTTCTGCATTCTGTTCAGTTTCCTGCCAAAAGCAGCCACCTCCCCTGTGCGCAGTGGTGGACGCGGTGGCGGCGGCTATGGTCACCCCAGGCATTGGCCTATTTTCGGCTGCCTGAAAGGGTTTGCTATGGTTTTCCCCACCCCACATGATGGCACAGTTCTGACTTTGGCAAAACACCACCAGACGGAAACTAATCAGCGGCCACTGTCCAGTGTTCTACCAGTGTAAGGGTCGCCTGTAAACAAATGTAATAATTGGGTTGAAGTGTTGCCCATTACGAGCCTGTGATATTGACCAACGACCACTATTTAGCATGGTCAAATCCTACCGATGACGAAATAGCCTGGATGAAATTTGGCTTGCCAAAACATAACTGAAACAATAAATTTTGTCGCCATTTCATGCTCCAAATTTAACATTCTGGCGCATTTCAGCCTAAAAATAAAGTTTTGGCCACATTTTGGCCAATTCCTACCAGATTTTGACCAAAGCAGATCAAGTCAAACATTCAAAATTTTAGCCCAGCCTGCAGCGTGGACACATTCAACGGAGCATTTGACATATTCTAACTGAAATAGGCCCGCATGAATGAGCATAGACACGTTATGCTCGCCTGAACGCCAGCTTGGCCATAACACTAGATTATTGAATGAATAACGCACTGCTCAGATGCAGGTGCCAGGCCGGTATGTGGGATGGCTTTAACCGTGTCTTACCCTGTCAGCGGCGACAAAACAGGACGATGCCTGGGGTGGGTAGAGGCAGAGGACACGGATACAGTGGTGGAGGAGGCGGAGGTTATGGGGGTAGAGGCGGCTACGGAGGAGGACGTGATTGTTGGTGAGCGCGTCAGGACGACTTCAGACTGCTTCTACCTTTCATGAGGCTTCTCCCGCCTACTGTCTGCTCGTCCTCCTCTGCACTGTGCCTGCTCCGTGGACTAGATCCTCAAGGCATATTTGCTCGTTGCCTACTGCTCGCTTCACATGCCTGCCCCTGTGATATTGTATGTGGTTCACTCGGACTCAGTGTTGCCTGTGAATCGGTAGGCTCCCCCCATTTCGGTACCTTGTTGTGTTTTTCGATGAATTTCATCATCAACTGATTGTGGTGATTCTCGACCCAATCAATTGCACCTGGGACGTTAGTTCCGAGATTGTTCATGATAACAGTGATGATGTTGTCCACGGTATGCTCATGTGATTGCTCACGATAATGAGAGAACATGTTCTGCTTAAACTGTCAGCGATGTGATACAAAAACGAGGTGTTAGTATAAGTCACGTTGCCTAAAAATAATGTCTTGAATCATCAGAATGAGCTCTTAGATCTTAGGATGCTTCATAGCTTCGGCTGGGACAGCGACTCAAATCTCTGAGAGCGGAAAGACAAGGTTGCATCCCGCACTGTCTCTATGGGTTTTCAGAAAGCCATGGACACTGTTGTGTTGATGTGACACCTTTCGGGCAAGTGACTCCCTGATCATTCCTGTCATACACTCATGGATGCCCACAAACACTGTCAGAATATTTAGAGAAGGGCAGAAAAGGTACGTACAGATTCTGTACCTCATACATGCAGCCACCGCCACACGAGCAATGACCAAGGAACAAGGGTATTGATGCAGAGCACGTGAAGAGGCTTGCAGGCAGCCACCATCATCTTTTATGTCTTGCTCCTCACCCACAACATCTCCCTCCATACCTTTATAGCTTTGGTCTGAATACTTGCATTAGTTTCTCCCCTTCTCTCTTACCCAGTAGCACAATGGCTGCCCGCCCTCAGCAATCCAGCCACGAGGGTGCATACACTTCTTCCTCTCTACCAGATGTAACCATGCTCATGGACATGGATTTCAGGAAACTTGTACATGACAAACACCGCCTCAAGTTGGTGATTGCACATATAGCACCAGCCTTCATTGTTCACATCACCATCATCAACCAAGAAGGAGTATGTGGACTTGGGAGCTGCAGGATGTGGAATTGTGTCCTGAACATTTTTGAATAAGTCGGCGAGGTGATTAATTCTACTAACTGCTGCAGAGGGTCTGAGGATTTGTCCTTGCTTGTGAGGAGTCATGCTGAATCGGAAGATGTTTGTGTGCAGGATGTACAGTTTGGTCTTGAGAACAACAGCCTTATTGCTTTGTGTAATTTTCTCGTATTGTGTAATTTTCTACATAATACATATAAAATCTGACATTGTCCACTACTTTTCGAGTCAATTCACATGTTGGAAATATGGTGCCATTTATGTAGTCACTGCATAAAGGAACAGCACATAAGAACTAGACATAGGCGGGCTGTTTAGTCCTTATTTTCTCATCCGTTTCATAAAAGTGCTCCTTTTGATCAGAGGAACAAATCCCCAAGACAGATTTGAAAATATCTAAAACTAAAGGAGTTAAGAAATTGAAACCACTCGCATTTGGTGGTCCCCCACCAATTGATAAGATTGAAATGATTTGTTTATTCATTTCTGAAAAGCCCAGGTTTTTTTTAACAAGGCCCAGGAATTTTCTTTCAATAAATCGGATTTTTGATCCTGGACCGATGAATCTGGTGGTTGTCTATTTTTGGTGGTGACTAAGTGAGCAGCACCATAGTAGTTTATCGGGGTGCAGGCCCACCAGCATGTTCTGGTTTCCTTGGTTTGATTGTGTAATGTATAATGTATCCCTAGTTGCTTTTGCTGGGTCAAATTGGGCCCGTAATGTGCCCTCCCCAGTTGGTCCCATACACACAAGTATAGTAGTCTAATTTAGGAGGTGGTGGAAAATATGTAGAAAGCAAGGAAGGGACTTCAGACAACAAGAGAAGTTTGAGTAAAGGCTAGGAGGATTTGAATCCGGCTCATACTCACTTGTCCATAAGAGCAACTGCCAAGCAACTGCATGAATAACACATAAAAGATTCCACTGAACGTACAATTGTCAATGTGGCACTTTGTGTGTCCTCAATATATTGCTAAAAAAAAAAAGAATATTAAGGGCAGGTGATTTTGCTCCTATACAGTTGTTCTCATATTTTATGTTCTGCGGACTATATGTCGCTTCAATGAGTAATATCTCTTACTGTGTTGTTGCTGTTGTTGTGCCCAATAACTGCACTCAAAGATGCTAACAAGCAATTGGACATGTGACACTGTCTCACAGGTTTAGAAGCCAAATATGCATAGTGATTAAGAGCAAAAAAGTAAACAGGCATCTGATCCTGCCATGCAGTGCGTCAGATATTAGCTCAAGTACTTTCTAATGGCACTGTAACCATTTGTGAAAAAACTGCAAGAAGTTTGTACTCAACATTCAGAAGATATTCCAAAGGATGCTACAAAAATAGTTTTGCATTTTTAAAAGCCTTTTCTATAGAACAAGTGTGAGTTTTGACTTAGTCATAAATAGAGACCCAGTAAATAGAGTGAATTCAGCAAGGCACAGAATTCGACTAAGCCACTATGTCAATCAATAGATGTGACAACACTCTTAACAAAGTGGCTAAGGTTGTCAAGGTCATTTTTTTTTAAATTTACAGTCATGATTATCAAGGTTAAACCATATAGATATTATCACTGATGAGATACCAATAGAACACTATCAGTACAGGAATCCTATCTATTGGTGATAAAGTGAATGTGCCTTATATAAAGGGAAAAAAAATAACAGGTATCGTGCCTGCCATACTGCATGCAGTAATGGCCTCTTCCCCCAAGTATAAGGCCTGTAAGATGGCTAGCAAAAATGTGGTGCACAATTTGGATTTGAGGGAGGGTGAGGGGTAATCACCAGGCTAGAGATTATTGTACCGTACCTCTACATCCTTACCACAGTCATGCCCAGGAAGGCCCAATCTCAGGCAAAAAAGGCCCAGGAAGCCAGTGTCATTAAAGATGGGTTAATGTCACTTGCTGTGTCTAGCTATCTAGAGGCACAGGAGAAGCCGCCGGGGGAGAGGAAGGGTCTGCGGAGTGTATGTAAGGAGGTGGAGGAGCTACATCGAAAATTGACAGGAGATACAGTGAAGTTGAATCATGAAACACTGCGTAGCCAAGTGAACGGGGGGAGGTCGATTGGAGAGGCGAATGAGCAGAAATCACGGCTGAGGCCGGAGGAGGCCGATGTGCTCATCGAGAATACCCTCGAGTATGCCACGAGAGGCTTTCCACTTAGCCCAAGGCGTCTTCGCGAGCATGCAAATGAGATCCTAAAAGGAAGGCTAGGAGATGAGTTTCCGGAGGGTGGTGTTGGTGTTCAATGGCCTTACCGTTTCATCAAGAAACACGACGATCGTTTACGCATGTGTTGGTCTCGTTCTCTGCATACAAGTCGTGGTTGCGCTGTGAACCCTACCATAAACAAGGACTACTTTGACCTACTCGGCTCCACGATGGCGAAGTTTGATATTGAGCGGGACTGCATATGGGCAACGGATGAGATAGGGATCCAGCCGGAGTCTGGGCAGAAGGAGCAGGTAATAGGGAAGGCGGGGGAAAAGAATCAGTACCAACAATGGAGTGGGAGCAGGGAGAACATTACCGTGATTGTCGCGATCTGCGCCAATGGTTCTTCCATTCCGCCTGCCATTATTTTCAAAGGGAAGGGGTACTCTACATCCTGGAACCAGGATAACCCTCTCAATGCATCGTGAGTTTTGTATTTGGTCTCTGTGTGATAGGGGAGTATTAGCATACTGACGAGACTACCAGCATAAGCTACTCTAAAAAGGGTTGGGTCGACGGTGAAATTGGTGTCGAGTGGATCAAGGATTTCGACAAGAAAACCAAGCAGAAGGCGAACGGTTGATATCGACTCCTGCTTGTCGACGGTCACGTCTCCCACTACACTCGGGGGTTTCTCGAATACGCTCGAAGTCAGCACATTGTCGTCCTATGCTATCTATCACACGGCACGCATGTTTATCAAGGGCTCGACGTTGCAGTTTTTGGTGTGCTGAAGCAGAGATGGTCGGAGGAGCGCAACTCACATGCACTCGAGACCGGTGAGATCATCTCCAAGACTAACTTTCTCGCTATTTATGGACGCGCCCATGTCAAGGCTCTCACTGAGTCTACTATCCGCAGTGCCTTCTTGAAGACTGGAGTGTGGCCATTCAATCTGAAGGTTATCACATCCACCATGATGGCTCCGAGTATTGAAACATCACTTAAGGCGGCCATGCCGGTGGCGCCATCCTCACCAATCAAAGCTGTTGCAGACGTGTTGTCTGCTATGCGAGCCTCTCAGGCAGCTAACGGAGGTGACGGAGTCCACTTACCAGCACTTTGTCCTAATCATGCTCCCTTCCTCGTTCCTGCGACTCTTCGGGATACATTCACTCGCCTCGCACACTCTTCTGCTTCCTTTCTCGTCTCCAACTCCCCCATCAAGTCGAACGCATGACCACCTGCCATCAATCACATCACGATCTCCCCCGTCAAACCACACCATACTGATCTGTTAACCCTGGAACCCGAGAGTGAGCGAGAACACCTTATGAAGCTCGCGCTCGAGGAGGCGGATATTCGAGAGGCATACCTGAAGAAGCAATTGCACGGGCAGCAAGCCGCGAGCATCCTTCAGCAGATATACTGCGAGCGTGTTCGTCGGCAGCTGGCGACGAAGGAGGAGAAAGCTGCGGGTCAAGGTGGAAAGAGAACACTGATGGGAGATGGAAAGGCGAAGCTATTGTCGGGTGATGAGTTTGTGGCGCTGGTTATCGAGCACGACGAGACCCAGAGGCGGACTGCGGAAGAGAAGGAATTAAGGAAGGCTGCAAAGGAGACATTTACTCAGATAACTGACAAATAGAAGGCAGCGGAGGTGGAGAGAAAGAAAAGGAACGAGGAACGCACCCAACGATTCAAGGCCGCTGTCGCAGAATGGGAGGTGGAATGCGACAGCCGGAAACCCTCCAAGCCTCGATGGACCAAACCGAAAAAGGAAACCCTCGAAAAGCCCATTCCCAAGCCGAAGAAGCCATCTGTTTCACAAGAAGTCGAGGAGGAGAATGTTGAGGAGAATGATGAGGGTAGTGGTGGTGAGGACTCAGACGGTACTGTGCAAGGAGTTGGAGTGGAGAGCGAGGACAAAGAGGACGTGTTTTGGGGCTAGGACGTGTCAACGCACGCTTCTGTCACGCATCACACGGCCACAAGGTGTCTAGGTGACTGATATGTCACACTTTTCCTCTATCATGAAGATTTATTACTGTACCGTTCAAACTTTGCTCATTAAGCTTCAAACTTTTTCCCACTGTAGTTTCAATATGTATGTACACATATACTAAGATGCTCCGGTCAAAATTCTTCATATTTATGCTATCAAAAATCACACATGATTTGGTGTCTAGAGTAGCGGTAAAAGACTGTATAGGCTGCAGGTGAGGCATCAATCTATCAACCCCCAAATATCCCCGAGTTTGATAGTGATGGCAGGCCCAGGGTACGACCTCGTGGTCAAGCTGGACCCCATCCTGCCGCTCCTCAGGTAACCACTCCTCCGTCATCCCAACCCTCTGGCCAGCTTACAACACTCATGACTGCCGCCATGCTACCTATCCTTCAAAACCTGTCTGCACCTTCTCACACCCCTTGCACCCCTCGACCCTCAACCCCGACAAAGTCGAAGTCAGCCTTCACGTTCACGTCACCGATGCCCTTACATGTGGACTTGTTGCAAAGGTGCCTAACGCACTTCGAGCGAGCTCACCACATCCCTGTCCAGAGTGCATATGAAGTGTTGAACGATCGCGCTATCACTCCTGACCTTGTTCCAAGGATGCCACTTGCTCGCTTGTGTGAGCTTACAGGTTTGCTGGAAGGTCATGGTATGAGGCTGCAGGAGTTCTGCTTGGAGTGGGTTCAGGCTTTCGAGGAGAGAAGAGGTTTGTAATTTGCATGTAGTACTATTGGTATCTCAGACCCCTTTCTTGTGATTTGTTCAATATGATATATGATTTACATGCCCTTGTATTTCTATCATGTGCCGGTAATCATGCGCCTCAAAGGAAAGGTATCGTACACAGGCGAGTGAATTATAAATGTCCACAGTTTTTAAACCACCCAGCTGCATGACTCGGCGGAATAGCAAGAATTGCCCAATGGATCAACCAGGGGTGCACATCTGCATTCACAGCCTCTGCCTCATTACGCCTGAGCCAATGCTTCATGAACGAGAACACCTCCTTAATTGGGTTAAAAGCGGGAGAATATGGTGGAAGATATTCCAATATAGCCCCTGTTTGCTGCTCAGTATGCATGTAGGTTGTAAAAGTACTGAGATGTACATACCACATTCACCCTCTATGATATGCTGGATCTCCTCATCATGATGAATAGTGTAGTTGTCCATGACGACAATACTTTGGGAAAGGGGTGACATATTGAGATGAGGTGCCTACATGTCAATGAACAACGTGAAACATCGGTGGGCAGCAACAGGATAGAATGCACCAGATCCTCTCGCAACCACCAAATAAAGCGGTCTTTGTTAACCGATCCCTTAAAAAGATCCATCGTGACAATCCCATTGACATCGAGAGCAGGCAAAACAGAACACCTCTGTCCACGCAGGAAGGTGGCACGTTGAACACATGCACAGCCAAGCACTGAGTAGCCGTAAGCACGTTGGATGGTATGGTCGTCCACCGGATTCATCGATGAAAAGTAGCTGGTCAGGTGTGTAGTTTGCCATTTTGACCTGCCAGCTTGCACGAAGGAGGTCATTACACTCGAGTGCCTCTTGAGACACCTTCTTGTGACTGAGGCCGACTCGAGTGATGGTATGTGAGAGTGTGGAGAGGGACACAAGTTTGCCACGGGCAGCTTCAAGGCAGTCATGTATCTTGTCAATGAAGAGGGTTGGCTGGGCTGCAAGGATGGATGAAATGTATGTGTTGTCATCGTGCTCAAGGAGGCGTCGGCGGCCTGGAGGGAGACAACAAGGATTGCGAAGACTGTTGTGGTTGCGTTTTGTTGCTAGTATATTTTGGATGGTGCGTACGATGACGCCCGCACGTTCAGCGCATTCTTCGAGCGAGTGGCCTTTGTGAAGTCTCCAGTGCAAGATGCAGGCGTGGAGGTCATCTGATGTAGCACGGGGCATGGTGTAGGAAAATCGGTTTCAAGCAGACTTCAAGAGTCCACCCATTATATTTTATTGAACAAGAGTGGAGTAACTGTACAGGATAGAGCACCACTGGGGCCCTGTCACACTTTGTTTGGAACAAAGCTATCCAAACAATGTGCGCGGAGATGTGATATGAAAACCAATATGCAAAACCCTGTAGCTTGGGTCGGTCTCGGCACTATAGTGGAATCCTTAGGCTGATGTGGTGGGCTTAGGATGATGTGGCCTTTCCCATAGACCTATACATATATATACTATACTGATCTCTGTCCCAGCGGAATGGAAGTAAGAATGTTGGAAGTCCGAGACCGGTAAGTCCTGGGTCTGTGGCATTGTAGTAGCCCCGTACACATGTACAAGGTTACACTTAGAAGAGGACACCTCATCTGAACAAACTTGATCCTAGACCAGACACTGCGTCTAGACAAACTGAGCCAGAACCCTGGAACTCCCTTGCTGATTGCCCAAGCTGACGGTGCCAAACAACTTGCTTGTTCCCCGCACTACAAACCAGACACCGCCCTTAAGCCCAGTGTAAGGCCGGTCGTAACACTCCCTCTCCCCAGCAAAATGCTAATTTGCACCCTCGATTTTGTACAGCTCGTCGTGTCCTTCAGTTCATGGTATATCCATGGTTTTGGACCCCTCCAAATATACTCCAGGTGTTCCCTAGACCGTACGTGTCTTCGTTGGCACTTGGTGTCCACCCCTCCTCCCTCTCCCCAGTAATTGACTAATTCACTCCCTTGATTTTGCACAACCCATTATGTCCTTCGCTTTGTGGTCTATTCAAGGTCTTTGAGGCCTCCAAACACACTCCAGGTGTTCGCTTGATGGTACGTGTCCTCGTTGGTGCTCGGTGTCCATACCTCCTCCCTCTCCATGGCGATACACTCATTCCTTTCCTTGAATTTTCACCACACGTCGTGTCCTTCGGTTCATGGTCTATCGGGGGTCTTTGAGTCCTCTAAGCACGCTCCAGGTGTTCCCTTGATGGTACGTGTATTTGTTAGTGTGTGGCATCCACCCCTCCTCCCTCTCCCTAGCAATATACTAACTTGCTCCCTCAATTTTGTACAACCCTTCGCATCCTTTAGTTTATGGTCTATCCAGGGTTTTAGAGGCCTCCGAACATGTTCCAGGTGCTCCCTTGATGTTAAGTATCTTCATTGGCACTCGGCGTCCACCCCTCCTCCCTCTCCCCACCAATATGCTGATTCGCACCCTTGAATTCGTACAGACCTTCGTATACTTTAGTTTATGGCTGACACAGGGTTTTTGAGGCCTCTGAACATGCTCCATGTGTTCGCTTGATGGTACATATCTTCGTTAGTGCTCAGTGTCTATCCCTCCTCCCTCTCCCCAGCAATTGACTAATTCACTCCCTTGATTTTGCACAATCCTTTGCGTCTTTTGGTTTGTGGTTTATCTGGGGTTTTTAAGGCCTCAGAACATGCTCCAGGTGTCGGTTTGATGGTACATGTCCTCGTTGATGCTCAGTGTCCACCCCTCCCGCTCTCCACCAATATGCCTATTTGCTCTCTTGATTTTGTACAACCCTTTGCATCCTTCAGTTTGTGGTCTATCTGGGGTTTTTAAGGCCACAGAACATGCTCCAGGTGTTTTCTTGACAGTATGTGTCTTCGTTCATGCTTGGCGTCTACCCCTCCTCCCTCTCTCCACCAATATACTAATTTACTCCCTTGATTTTTACAACCCTTCGCATTCTTTAGTTTCTAGTTGATCCGGGGTTTGTAACACCTCCAAAGACGCTCCAGGTGTCTGCTTTACAATAAATCATCTCCTTCAGTCTTGGTGACCACCTCTTATCCCACTCTACCGCAATATCCTCATTTATTTATTTTATTTTCCACGATCTGTCGTGCCCTTTAGCTCATACCTACCCCAGGGTTTTTTAGGCTTCCAAGCATGCTCCAGGTATTTGCTTGATGGTTCATTCCTTCATTCTTCAGTGTCTACCTCCCTCCCATCAATTCGTACAGTATACCACACCCGTCCATGCTTTATTTTAATGTACAAAGATGATGTGCAATATAGAATGATTATCCAATTTACACTGCCATCAACAACCTGCAAGCTGAGTGAACGATACAGAGTGAGATTGGAATGATTGCAGAGACTCAATTATTGAACATACCTTGTCGAGGATCTCTTGAATGTGCTCCAGACTTTCCTTTAGAAGAAAGGGGAAAGCCCTAGAGTCTGCATTGTTTGCTCCTGCAGTCCATCTTCCTTGAGTTTTTTCTGCATCTCTTGTCCACTTCGTCAAATTATCCACTCAACGTGTTCAGCACAAGCCTTTGCACAGTAGGTGCTCAACAAATAGTGTGCCAAACTCAAACACAGTTTGTCGACGTCCATAAGGTGTTTATCAAAATGGTCATAGATGATCGTGAAAGCAGCACGGACTGATGCAAAGTTGTCCATTTGGAAGCCTAGGGCTTGGAGACCCTTAAACGCTCCCAATCCTGAATGCTTCCAAATCTAGCGTGAGATGGTGTCGATATCCGGAGTGACGCAAATGCCCAGGAAAACAAGGTTGTTGGCAGTTTGCAGGGTAGTCAGACCATCTAAGAAACCTGGTATTCCTAACCTCTAAATTATCTCGACTGCCTCCAACTATGTCCTCTTCCGGTCAGTATACGTGAAGGGGTCTTTCCCAAGAAGATTGCCCAGAAACACAAGCCAAGCATCAATCACCCCTTCTTCCCAATGGGGCGCGAGCTTTTCACGTAGGGAGAAGTGTATAATGTTGCCAAACACATCATGCAGTCGACTCGAGGGGAGGAGCTTGAGAAGGTTACTTGCAGATCCGTATATGCAGCTGTTAGAGATCTGGACCATTGTGGGGATGTCTAGTGGCGGACATTCAGCATCGGGTCAAATTTGATGGTAGGAAACTGAGCAGCGCAAGCCTCGTTGTACAAGAGGGCATGGCCAAACATGCTGATGCATTCTAGGAGACTCTTGATAAAGAACGAGTATTCAAATATGCGTAAGAAATGCTCGGTCTTGAGTCCTTGTTCTGTTCCTATTCAACACAATAGCATGCACGAAGCTGTCAAAGTCAATCGATGTGAGTGACTAATCATGGTGGGATAAGATAATATAAGAGTTCACACCAAAGTCTGTAGTGGACAATGATGGCGGGAACTGTCGCTGGAGAAGAAGTGTTCCGCGGTTGAACTGGCGGGCAATATCGAGGTGGTCGTGATCTCCTGTGACATGCTTGGGCCCATGAACCAGATACCCACCCTAAAGGAGCCAGCAAAGCCCTTCGATACCCCAAGGCTGTCTGGAGTATTACGCCGAGACAGAGGGAATTTTCCTGATATTTTAGCAATTTTTCTGGGACTGATAGGACTACTTACTGCAGAGTTATGACTTTAGTTATTTCGCCAGCCAGCGGGCCGCAGAGGGCCGGATTCCGCACCTCGGTTCCGCGCCTCTGCGTCCCGTTTAGGCAGGTAGTTTTCCAACTGTATAGTAGACCGGTAAGCACCGGAGCGCGTCCTTTTAACTTGTGAGAAGCGTCCTTGTCTCTTTATCATTGACAGTGACGCTTCTCACAGGTGAGTCTTACTATAGATTTCGTCTTTTTCTTTTTCTATTACTTTGTGAGGGCAATATCATTGACAGTGACGCTTCTCACAGTCGTTCTTCGAGTGCTCGATTATCTGCACCTCACAAAGGCATCCCTTTCCTCTCATTCACACACTCCTGTGCCAACAGACCCAGAGTATTGTATAGAGGCATCTGACCAAGTAGAAACAGTCAAGCTGGCGTAAGGACAAAGCTCGGCCCATCACCCTTTGGCCACCCCTTCTTCATGTTCTTTGCTGGTTCCTGCCGATTCGAACTAATGCATGCCAAGTATTCATCCTCAGTGATATTTTGGCCAATCTCATACTGTAGGGCTAATCGATGAATAAATCTGGATAACTGTTTGGCTGCAGCACGAATATCTTCTGAGATGTGTTTGCTGAGCCATACACGAAGATTATAGGTAAAGTTGACGGAGTTTGCAAGAAGGAGGGGGGCTATGCAAGTTTCTTCCTTATGATTGGCGTAACAGAGCAGAGTGGGACTGGTGAGGATGTTGTGTATAGTTTGAGAGGCACAAATTGACCTGTTGCCCATGTGATCACCGAAAGCTCGAATGACTGCTCCACGTACAATTGCCAAAGCTCGAGAAGCCTTTGGTTGGGTGGACCAACGGTGTTTGCTGTTAAAGAAGGCATTGGCACTGGGAATGAAGGGGAGGGCGCATACAACAAATAATTCTCTTCAAGGTATTGCGAGCCTGCCTGATGAGCATCGAAGAGAATATTGCTCAAGCAAGGAGGCCGCTAGACAGGAAATTAAATATGACAAGGGGGCAGCGACAGTACTGGAGGTGAAGATAGCATTGGAGGACATCCACAGCAAGGAGTTCAGAGCATATTGTTGGGAGCATTTAGGCAGTGTCTGTAACACAATGAAAAACACGTAGAGAGCTAGCTGTTTGAGGATGTATCCGATGTGCATCGAGATCACGATCGTTGAGGGGCACAAAATTCAACCAGCTGCTAAAACAGTTTTGTTGATCTGTGAAAGCATAGAGTTTGTGGAGAGTGCTGGTCAAGTTAGCGCCTGTGTCCCGGTAGTATGATGCTGGCAGTGACCCCAGATCATTTGATCATTGCTCAAGCATAATATGCTCAGTATCTAGTGTGGTCGCATCAAATAGTTTCTCCAGTAGCGGAATTTGGAACAGGTCGTCAGTGGGGTGAGTGCATGTGCGATGCGGTTGTTGGGCTATATTTGTTGTCTTCTGATGCTCCTTGAGGAGTGCCTTCGCTTTCCTATCCAACATAATCATATGAGCCAGTGTACTTGTCCAAACCAAACATGATGCTAATATACCGTAGGCCTCGTTCCGTATACCACTCATTATCGGATGGAAAGAATCCCTTGAAAAGGACCTCATACTGAAGCACCGGTTCTGAGCTGGCATCCAGTCAACTTGGCCTCAGGCGCTACAATAACTGGTCAGCAGAAAGCCTGTAAAAAGTGGAGAAAACCTTACATGGCCAACAATTGCCTCAATCTCCCACTCACGCTGACTATCATCTGCATTGACATCTTCTTCCTCTGACTCCGACGGTATAACCTCAGGCTCGCCATCAGGGTCTGGCTCTGCCTGTGCAGCGGGCGTAGGCTTGGGCCATTTAGTGGAAGGCTGTTCTGAACCAGTCACACACCGCTTACTAGTAGGCCTCTGCACTGCACCTTTGGTCAGGGGAACAGTTTGTGGATCTCTGCTTGGGATTGAGCACATGGCTGATGTGTCGATGGACCATTTGTGGCGGACGTGGCCGTAATCAGCCCCCTGTCAGACTGTGTGATCTGGTCCTGACGGCGGGTGTTATGTGGGTCTCTAGTGGTAGCAGGTGTCATAGACGGAAAGGCTGCTACAGACGTGCTCGAGATCAGGGATGACAGAGTTGGTGGCATGGATGTGAGTGGCACATTGTTGGGTGGTGGTATGTAAGTATTTTTGAAAGAATACCCAGTTGAGGGGATGAAGAATCCTGTAATGAATTATCAGCACATGTTCGGGACAAGGGGCAGAATGCAATAAATAAACCAACCATAGTTCACGTTCCTCACTGACCAAAACAATTGAGCCAGTGTCCAGACGAACTTCTCAAGTCGCCTAGACAGAACCCATCAAGACTGGAAGTGACAAAAGGATGCAATAGCATTAATCTAACCATCGCCAGAATAAATCCTGGACAACACCTCACTCACGAGGTTTGGATGCTCTAAGTTGGCAATGACGGTGCTGGCAATAGTGACCAGAATCAACTTGTAAGGTGGGTAGGTGACAATGGTGGTGGCGGCTTTATCACAGATACTCTTCTGATAGTCCTTGTACACATGCTTGCACATACCCAGTGACACAGAGAGATGCTGCAAGAAATACCATTTATAATACTGCTTCATTGTCTTGTTCTCAGGTCGGGATGGATCAAAAGGAGAGGGGAGGATGGGAAAATTCAGGTTGTTGGTGGGATCGTGGAACTGCATGCTGCGGATAACCGAGTTAGCTGTAAGGTTTGGCGCAGTGACCCCGATTGCGGATAGTGTATTCATGAAGTTGAACACCGTCTCCTAGACAAGGCGAGAGGTGCCCTGCTGTGCATCGCCCAGGAGATGACGTCCCTCTTGAGAGTAGGTAAGGGCTCGAGTATCACAAAAGGAGAGTGAGCCATTATTTCTGAACTGGGTTGGTGGCGTAATGGCATATGAAGTACCGTGTTGTATGGCAAGAGTGTTATGATAGACAAAATAACCAACATGGTTGACAGAACTTAACAATTGCCCGATCTTTTTGCAGTCGCCCCATCGAGCATCTCGTGCCGCAGACAGTTTCAGTTTCAGCGACGAAGCCCACTGGTCGAACGCAAGCGGGAGTGAAGCGGCCCGTATACACTCGACCGTTGAGGCAGATTGGCCACACAATATCACACACACTGGTGATACGTATACGGTGTCCATCACCCTTCCTGAGCTTCTTAACCATCCACCCCCTCATCAATCAAAATCCAACGCACATCTTTTGTTCATATGATTCAAATCTGAATCCAAGAATCGACTGGATGTCAGTACAAGCATCGGTCTACAATGTGGACTTCTTCCTCGGGTGTGCCACATCATCATTATGAGGAGCGAGAAGAGGGAGAGGATGGTGGGCTGCAGTACTCGCAAGGCGAGGCGGAGATGGAGCTCGAGTTGCTGATTTGGGATATGATTGCTTTGCCAAGTGTTCCCATGGAGGTTTCAGCTCGGGAGGACAAGCAGGGGCAGGTTAGCATGGAGATAGATGATGAAGATTCTATCGGACTTGGGGAGGGAGAGTATTGGGATGGAGGGGGAGAGGAGTACACAGGTGAGGGTGACGGAGAGTATGAGGAGCGATATGAGGATGAGGGGTGTGAAGGAGAAGAGCAGTATGAGGGTGAGGAGCAGTACATATTTGCTGGTTCAGATTATCCGTCAATCTGGGGCACCTGGACTAGTCGCCATACATTCTGCGAGGAATAACAGTACTTCTGGGGTCTAATGTCTGCACAAGGACTGCTTGGAATATGACAGTAAATTGAGGGGATATTGAGGGAGCGTTGAGAGAGAACTGAACAAAGGCTCGAAGGTGAACAGTGTCAGAGAACCGACTAGAGACTTGAAGATTGCCATGCGATAATGGGATAATGTTGGCAGCTCAGACCTTAACCATCAATTGATATGATCACACCTGCTACGGAAGAGTAGGAATGTTGAACGAGGCAATTGATGTCTCCCATATAGTGGCCCTATCAACAAGGTGAAGGGGTATTATTTTCCATCTAGAAATAATGTCTCAAGAATGGGGATGACATAATAGAGGAGTTCCCAGTGGTATTAAGGACTGAGAGTAATGCTGTGTGGCCTGAAGGTAAGTGGCAAACAAGAGGGTGATGGGGAAGAACAACAGATCCTGCCAGTCCTGTTTTCGGAAGGCCTTTTTCCTCTCTACTCTCTTCGTCACTTTCTACAATCTTTGTGGGAAGCAAGGACCATGGACCATGAGCACCCAGCACTCTGTATGGTTCCAAATTGCTCGTGTACAGAAGCTATCCATGTATGTTCCCTCTATTTTTGTTCTCGTTTTTATGGTGTTTTGACCAGGTCTGTATTTTCTAGGACGACACGCCAGGTGTCCCACCTAATCAGTGTTGCTGTGGTCATGACATGAACCAGCACTCCCATCGAATGCCGCAGCTACCTTAGCGTGCCTGTGGACCGACAAGGTCTTTTGAAACTGTACGCCTTTCCTATCAATTTATGGGATTCCTCATTGATTCTCATAGACCTGGATTATATAGAATACACCATCGATGGGTGGTAGAGCGCCATGCCTTCACTGTACCCGCCCATACTTCGAGCATAGACCTCCGGTTGCATCTGCTGGGCCATCTCCATTTACTTCACAGTCAATTACCGCCAATGTTGACACCCAGCATATCCCAACTTCCACCGCAGCCGTCTAATCCATAGCCTGGCCCAGTAGCAAACACAGTCCCTCCATACAATATTGGTCTTGGATATCTGATGCCGCCGCCACCTTCTATGCAGCCCAGCCCAACAGCATGCACGGTTTCACCATATGGTTTTGGACATCTGTCGGTACAACCTCCTCCAAGCCTTACGCAGACACCTGCATTATCACAGACGGCACACTACTCTTCTGGGGCCTTTCCTGTGCTTCCCGCTCCAGCTTCATCGCAGACACCTCATCATCTATTGTCATCTCTCCCCTCCCTTCCAACTCTTGCTACTCCACTGTAGACCGCTTATCATGCACTACCTGCTCTTCCCTCACTTCCGGCTCTAGGATCAGCGGGCTCTAGTAGTGCCCCTCAAGGTGTCTCTTACCTGGCTGATCACTGGAATGGACCAGAGGGCGAGCCCGAAGAAGGCCCTCCAAATAACCGCCACCACGCTGCGCTCAACCGGCGCAACCAACATACTCGAGGACCTGGTTATCCGTCTCATCCTACCGCCGTATCCCATACACTATTCTCCCAGGCCTCCATGCCGGCACCTCTTACAGTTGCTCCAAGTTTTCCCGCTTCCTGCCCCATCCGACACTCGCTGACATTGTCATCGTCTTCCGTAACAACTATACCGATTGGCAGGATACCTTTCAAGCAAATGTCGAGCAGGGATCGAATGGTTTCCATGGCTCCTTTACTTTGGAGACTTGAACAACAAAAGATGGTGCCAGAGCTCAAGCGTATGTATTTGATGGTGAATGGTGGGAACATGTCTCCTCGGACGTGGGTAGTGCCAGATACAGAGGATGTGAGCGTGGAGAATTTTTTGATGGCCACATTGATGAGTGGGACTGTAACAATCCATATATAATTAATATCAACAACACCCACTCATAAAAATAGTCACTTACTAGAAAACATGATTAGTGGCGAGGGTGGAACGGCCCGCATTGGTGATGGCCCAAGATTGGTGTCATCCAAGAGCTGGGCAACATCTTCTTCGTCGATCACCGACCGTTCTGGATGGTGCTATAAGATGCATACCTCACCCCTCACCTCCCATCCCATATGTGAGGCGCAGATAATCGAGCACTCGAAGAAATGACTGTGAGAAGCGTCACTGTCAATGATAAAGAGACAAGGACGCTTCCCACAAGTTAAAAGGACGCGCTTCAGCGCTTACCGGTGTACTATACAGTTGGAAAAGTAACTGCCTAAACGGGACACAGAGCAGCGGATCCCGAGGCGCGGAATCTGGGGCTCTGCGGACCGCTTGGTGGCGAAATAACTAAAGTCACAACTCTGCAGTAAGTGGTCCTATCAGTCCCGGAAAAATTGCTAAAATATCAGGAAAATTACCTCTGTCTCGTCATAATACTCCGGACACTGTATCCTTCTTGAATCAGCCCAGAACATCACAGGATCAAGTGGAGATGTAGATGCAGACAATGACGGCGAGGATTGGTTTCTGGAACTAAGACGGTTCTTTATAGTGTTTGGCTTCTTTTGGCAACTCTGCCTCATCTGGGATATAGATTGCTGCCAACTGCCGACAATATTCGCTCTGGTCTGCCTTACAACATTGAACAACCATAGCTTCCTCCTCAGCGACTTGGGGGGAGAGGCCATTGCTATACCTAGCATGGCAAGCACGATGCCTGGTTTTTTAATTAGTTTAATGTTTATTGTTTTTATTTACTCAAGACTTTTGTATTACTCAGAGGTCATATATGTCATCATCTGCTGACCCATTTAAGACACTTTTGATGATTGTGCAAGGCTCAGACTTATGTTAGTACACATTGGCTCTACCATCATTCTTCCTTCCTCCCCTGCCGCCGCCACCATTCTTTATCTCCTCATTCCTCCCCTCCACCATCTTCCCCCATCCCTGCCAAGTCCCAGGAGCTCCATGCCTGCCTTGTCGTGCTCCGTACCCAAGAAGATATTGATCTACTCCAGTATAAAGATGTATTGTCGTCAAAGGATTACACTCCCAATGTCTTGTCGATGGTCAGTATCAAGGACTTGTGCGGGCTTACAGGTACTGTGAAAGGTCGGATATTGAAGCTTCAGAG